TGTTGCACATCAGTAGAGAGGAGCAGAGCAGTCCCTTAAATGTCGCACCCTATATAACTTAATTGGAAGGGACTTGCGACTTTTCAGCTACCCACAAAAAAATTCATAAACATATAACTTCAAATTTCTATCACCAGAAGATTTTTATGATTTTTAGAAAACAAAAAAACAAAACAAAATGGAAATATTTGCTTCTTTTTATCCAGCATAGTAATATACAACATCTCTTTTAATTAAGCTTATTTATGAGGTGTACTTATCCCAAGAAACAACATCATTATGCAAGGTACCTTAAAATGTATGTGTATAATCATTATAAAAATGCTTTCAGTACTGTTACACTCCATCCTGATGTCAAGAAATTCTTACAAAGAAAGTTAGATAACTCGTTCCACAAGTGTTCGTTCATTCATCACAAACATACATATAATATATTATGTGTTTCAAACGTGTATATATACATAATACAGTATCTGCTTAAAAGTCGGGCAAATTAAAAATTATTATATGCTTTATACCGTTCAGCTAATTATGGTACCTACATATTTGTTAAGTTTGCATGATTTGGAAAAGCCAGAAAATTCTCAATTTTTGGACTGATGATTAAAAAGTGATCAGTCGTGAATGAATTATTACTTATTTATTCACCTTTTTACTAATCATTCTTGGTAGTATATTAAAAATTAAATCAGCTTTGAAACAGATTCAAACAAATGAATGATATTTTTCTGATAGTTGACATTTTTTATATAAATTCAAGACATATGATATGCTTTATGCTTTAAATGCTTATTTGAAAGTTTACATGTTAGTATCTTCATAAGCTTAAATATTCTATTAATGAATGTATTAGTAAAGCTTGATCTGTTTAATATATCGCTGTCGTGTGAATTTGATAGGATGAAATTGAAAAATGGTCTTTTTGCAGTTAATTTCTTTGTTATTACTCGAATTTCTAACTTTGCACTCCTCTCAACTTTCTTAAAAATGTGTTAAAACAAATATTCTAAGACTGATTGCACTGCATAAGAATTGTTTTTTGGGCGTTACTTTGAAAGCAATTTCATCGTTACTTGTTAGTATTAATGTTTAACTTTTCTTAGTCAAAACAAGAGTAAAATATTTATTCTATTAACATAAGAATATTTAAGAAAGATTTTACACATCGGAGGCAGTACTATATTTAACTAGGTACGAATACCCGCGGTAGAGATGAATATGGTTCCGTTTGTTGTAGGGGGGTAAAATCGATATGTCTCGACGAACGCCAAATATAGTTGCATCGCATGATGTAAGTAGGGTCAGTCCAAGGTATGTTCTGATGTGGTAAAGTAGCGTGTTACAAGAGTGATTATTGTAAGAATGGTATTAAACCTAAATTATATATTGTAATAATATATTTGTAATAATTGTAAAAAAGGCTTAAGCCTGTATACTAAATAAATAAATAAATATATTGTAATAGTCAAAAAAATAATAATTACACCTAGATTGCCTACACTTTTTACTAAATCGTTTTGTTCTCGACAGAATGTATCTCTGTCAGTAGAAATCACAGGAAAAACACAAGACTGTGTAAAGAGGGTAAATTGAAAGAGTACCAATTTTGAATATCACCATTGCTAATTTTTTAAGTAACATAATATATGGAATGTCATATATCTAGAAGTTTAAAAAAAAAATGCACAGAGGAATCATTTTACAAGTGCCGAGAGAAACGAAAAAACCAAAGAGACCATCTTTGAGGTGGATTGTCGTTAGATAACAGAAAAGTTATCCCAAATAATGAAGAAATAGTGTGAAACCTCGCGTACGAGAAGGATTAAATGCTGAAGTATACTGTTATCTAAATAGAAACTTAACCAAAATTTGGCAGAAGCAATTGTAGCACTGATACATCAAAATGAATAGACGAAAGCAAGCAAAAAAGATGAAAATAAAGGAGAACGTGAAAGATGAAATAAAAAGCTTGTGAAAACATGATTAAGAAACTGAACAGATTCTTAGGAACATTAAAATCTGAATGAAAGTGAGCACTTCTAGCAAGTACTTCACAAGTTCTAGAACGGCCTATGGTAGAACGGATTTAATCGGTAGGTCTAAGGGGACCTTTCTTGGAACTCCGACACCTCCCAGTCTTACGGACGGCTGAGTGCGTCTTGAAGATTTCACCTCTTCCACGAAAAGAAAAATGAAAAATTTAGCAAACGAAGAAGAAATAGAGAACGAATGATGAGATACATGTGAAATTAAGAAAATATCAAGCGATAACTAATATGCACCCATCAAGAGGGTATCAAGGAATTTATGAGCAAGAGAATCTCAAACGCTAAAGCTAGAGACATGGTAATCATGCAAGAAGAAAATTTCCTCGAGTATCCATATTAAATGCTTCTAAATATCATCTTCTGGTACTAGGTAGGTATTCAGTGGGTGTTAATTTTATTTTCCCTTTCTTATACATACTTATGTACATGGTCATGTATAATAATCTCGTGTACACATTCCCATGCTTATGTATAAACGAGATACACACATGGAGATATGTACATACAATGCCCGAGTCCAATAACCTCTCTTCTTACCATTCGGACGACAACGCACCTTACGTTCACCCTTTTCAGGGATTTTCCGTTTATCACGGACTGATGGCAGTGATTTAATCATGGAGCAACTTTTATTGCTCTATTCTGTTGGAATTATTGAATATTCGTGAAATGACGAGACAAAGTAATCGGTAAAAAAACGAAATCCAATCATTTTATGCCAATTTCTAGTTGGGACCAGAGGACCGAGCCGGCACGACGAACGTTCGGTGAATCCCGCGTGAAAGGAAACATGTAGCTCAAGTCCGGTTGGTGAGCTCATTTCAGTTCGACGACTGACTTTGTCGTGTACGTTCCTTATTATAGAGTTGAGTGAATGTGAATGTTGTGATTTTAAATTTTACTGGATTCTAAAACGATAACAGACGTAAGTAAATAGAAGAATTATCCATTAAAAGATACCGGTAACGGCTTTTTCGCAAGAAAACTAATCAGCCAAAGGAAATGATGTTTTTCACCGATGTGACTCATTCTCGAACGGATGGAAGAAACACGTAACGAGCGGTTTTGTCCGATGGCAAATTATTTTGCGAATTTGCCCGTTTATCAGCGAGGCATTTTATATGTAAAAATTTAAATTCAATCCATATGGGCTTCTCAGAAATTAACGCACTGCTCACATTTAACCCACATATACAACACCTGATACGCACCGCGAACCATTGGCATGTAAGCGTCGATTTTCTTTCGGAAAAGTTCGTTACACTTTTACTGTTATACCATGAAAGACCGATGTGCTAATCTCTAATTTGGCAAGAATCGTTTAACCATGAACGATTGTGAAACATCAAATATTCTAATTGTACGGACAGGCGATAAATATTTATCTTTTACACCTACGACTTCATCTGTTCATCTAAAGGGAACTGCTTCCATATGATCGGAGCAGATTGCCGAAATTTTATGATTAACTACTAATGAAGTGCTTACCTATTAGTTTCACAGTGCAAACAGTTGCATTCATTTTATATTTACGCATATGTATAGATCTTTAATATTTATTTTTGTAAGTGCACCTACAGTGCTCCTGAACAAACATTACATATATTCTTGTTCTTTGTAAAAACTTTTATTCGTACATATTTAATAAATTATACGATTGCTTCAAATGTTTAACTTAATTAATTTACGAAAAAGATTAGGAAAATAACAATGAAGATTAAGATGATGAACATCTATTTTGAAATTTTCATTTGGATATATAATTCAGAAAGGAGTAAACCGATTTCAAGCAAAACTATGCTTTGGTTTCGTGAAAATGAGAGCGGAACGATGGCATTCTGACATTTTAAGTATATTTGTGATCGCAAGTCAGTCAAGCTCACTTTTTAGAATCCAAGTATCTTCCTTTAGCGCTTTAACTGTGCGTTGTTTAAAAATTTACATTCTCTAGCGGTAAATTATATCGCCTGCAGAAGTCACTGTTGATACAATCGGTGGATTGTTGTGGTAGTGACCGAGCGGTTTCCTCAGACTCACTCAGATTTGTTTTTCAGAAAGTACTTTGATGATTGATTTTTAAATATTCTTATGTGTGTATGAATAAAGGCTTCCAAGTAATCGTACCATCTACGCTATTTCTTTCAATGTCGAACAGATTTGGAAAAATTTCCCCTTTCAATTTCTGCACTTGAATGAGTAGGTAAAGGTTTTGCACAAGAGAAGCTTCATGTTCAGACCAACTTCGTACAATATTGCAAAATTCATATCAGAGATTGCTTGCTGCATGAATATGACATTCGCCTACTCATTCTCCAAACGATAAGACACAATCGCGGTTGGCATGTCGGAAACTTCTGGACGTTGTAGATCCGGGCGAATGGCTCTTTAGCTTTACAATATTCGCGAGCTTTCGATAATAATAATTATCCGGTAATAGCCGTTCGATTCCAGGCCACGCCATGCAACTCTGTTCGGATCGAGTCCAAGTATCTGCATTACTTTAGACAGTAAATGCAGGTGGTGAAAGTTGGAGCGGTCATTGGCGCGTTCCCATAGCGAACGGGTGATTTTTTGCCTTCGCCAGGCTCTCGTATATCGATCCGTCCGCTAGCTCGAACGCCCTTGATATTTTGCAACCTGTTATATTAAGTCTACTGCGACGCTGACGATTGCCAGACTTTCTCATTTTGCACGCGATTGAAAGGCGCTTGCTTTTTAGTATAAACCGAAGTAAACAAGATCCGTAAGAGAGACACTAACGCTACGCTAACTTCTCAGAGAACCAAAAGAGACTGTCTCCAGATATCGAGTGACCAAACGTTACGTAAGCAGTATGCAGCCAGTTGGTTTTAAATATGCAACGCTATATGCGAGCTTATTTGTTGTTAGGCAGTAGAATGAATTATTAATATTTATTACGTGGATAATTGAAAAAGCAATATAAATTCTTACCTTAAAGACACTGAAAGTAACAGCGGCGGTAGGTAGTGTCATACAGATGATCCTTCTGGAGAAGTAGAGGATCACAGTTCAGGAGCCCTGTAAAACAACGGAATTCTTTAAATTATATAGCTATGCAGTTTTAGGTTTGCTCCGACTGTTGTTTTACATGAAGGAGGCTTTTACTTTCTAAATAGCTACTTTATTAGTAGTTGGACACACGAAATACAACTCTCCGACAATTAGCAACTGGCATTTCGTATAATGGATGATCACGGAATCGCTATCGTTACATAACAAGATTGTTTGAGACGGCTGACAGTTGTTAATTTTAGTTTTACTTTGGCTTTCCCTTACGGTTCGCTGTGGAGATACCTACTAATAAGAACATTCTTTGCATTGCTTTCTAATCTGCTAGCGCAACAAACTGCCGTACCGGCCAACCGTTTTGTTTCTTGCCGATTGGAATTTTTCCGGTTTAGATTATATTGATACTGAAAGTGTTTTTATGAAACTTAGCCGATTGCAAGACTTTTATTGTCTATAATAACTGCATCATCTTGCTCCAGACTTTACTTTCATCGATGAATACTTACTATAGTACCTACAGATTTTACTTTTTACAAAAAAACTATATGAAATCGATCGTACCATGATTTATTGTATATCATATAATGATTCTTTATTCATTATGCCTATACAGTGATCAATCTTGTTGCAACCGTACTTAATATGGTATTGCATTTATATATATTATTAGTTCAACCTAAAGCCACCACAGGCTACGAATAAGAAAAAAAGGAATTTATAATTTGGCTAGGCCCTTAATGATCATTGCTTGTAGATATTTCCCTTCAAGAGTTCAGTTAGTCGTGTGGTCTTGCCTTCATATGTAAAAGCTATTCAATTGGAGATCGACCGATCGCAAACACGATGTGCAGTAAATAAATATAGACTGATACTAGATCTATAACATAACATTTAAAAGATGATACGTTTTTTCTACTTGCTTATATTGTTTCATTAATTTATTAACAAGTACTTACATCAAATGAATTCAAAGGCCCGTCCTCTTAAAAAGCTTTCAGTCCAACAGTCGTTTTATGTTTTTCGATATAGTTATACAAAACACTGACGACATCGGACAATATTTTGACAAATAGAGACCCGCTGCTAAAAAGCGGCTTGTGCGTCGTTATTTGGTCAATGAGAGGTCAACAACCCAGCTACTGAACTATTCGAATTTACTGAACATCTACATATAACGTATGTCGTGGATGTATGCATACGTATGTATATTGTAGATGTGTATAGAAGTCGAACATGATTCGAATAGTTGCCGTAATTTGTCCATGGTACCACAATAATTGTTGGTCGTAAAACGTTGAATAATACGAAGCTTCTAGGACAGATCCGAAGCTCAATAGCTGTAATAAGGGCCACTACAGTTCCATTTACAGATAAATCTGTATTATATGTTTACAATCAATAAGTACATAATATTTAGTATTAGTTGGTGGAGAGGCTCGTTGATATGGTAGACGAGATCGCACAGTTCAATCTTAATAAAGGAGGTACTTATCTAATCGACATGATATCAATAGATTTTGCATGACTGCACTTTCAACTTGAAGATATCGATTTGAATCAACGGTCACAACTTTAAATTTGTGTAAGGGCGTAGGACTTTGGGAGCCTACAGAAGAAGATACCACTTCCACTCTGCTATCCTGAGCTAATCTTCACATTTCCCTAAAACTAGAACATCCCACATCCTTAACTATTTGCAAACAGTAATCCAATCTAGATCTACCTCTACTTTTAACTCCTGTTTCTGCCTCTAATATGTCTCTGACCAGACCTTCATGCCTGAGAAGGTGTCCTACCAACCTATCTTGCCTTTTTTCCATAAAGTTCTCTGTTTTCCTATTCTTTTTAATACCTCTTCATTTCTAACCTTCTCTATCCACGGAATCCTCATCATTTCTAAACTATATCCACGGTATTCTCATGATTTCTAACCTTCTCTATCCACGGAATCCTCATTATTCACCTGTAACGCCATATTTCGAACGCTTGTAACCTTTTCTTCTCCGTCACGCCCACTGTCCATGTTTCGCACCCGTACGACGCCGCGCTCCAAACATAGATACACCTTTCAGTAATCTTTTTCTAATTTCTAAATTAACCGTTCGCGAGCGTAGAAGCGACTTCTTTTTATTGAAGGCGACTCAACCCTGCGCTATTCTTTGCTTTATATCCCCACTACTCTTTCCGTCCTGACTTATCTGACTTCCCTATATACTTAAAATCAGCCACTATTATTTTTTCCCTACTTTTTTTCCCTTGCATACCAGTATTTTTGATGGCGATTATCAAAGTTAATTCAGAAAACAGATAAAATACCAGGAACTAGACGCTCATAGAAATTCCCCATGTTGTCTAATCTCTTGCGGATAAGCAGTACATTTTAAAAATAATATTATTGACTTGTGTTAAAGTTAAGTAGAAAATTCTGATGATTCGTGTTATTGTTTCGATAGAAAACCTAGTGAACCGCGTAACCCATGGCACTTTTATCTGTTTTTACTTATTCTATCAAATTGTTTATCTATAATGTTTAAAAGTCAGTCGGAATTTGTAGCACTAACACTTAATAAGTACAACATATTTTGTGCAAATTTATTGAATAATGTAATCAAAAATGGACAAGAAATACAGCGTGTCCGATAGAAAATATGCATGGTAATTGCGACGAATCATCAATGACCATACATGAGCAAACAGGAAAATTAATAGAAAACTACCCACAAAATGTTACAAGTGATCCTTATGTTTACTAAATGACCAATTTAGATTATAAGTTAATCTAATCTACGTCTTCCTCTGCCTCTTTTAACTCCTGCTTCTACTTCTAATATAAAATCTCTAATTAACCCTTTACCCCTGAGGAAATGTTCTGCCAACCTACCTCGCCTATTTCTTACTGACTACTATAAAGCTCACTGTTCTCCTATTCTTTCTAAATGCTCATTTGTAACCTATTCTATCCACGGCATTACAAGCACTGGACAGGTTTCTTTCAAATGTTTGATAATCTCGAATTCACAACGGGCACACATGCTTTCTAGGATCAAATCCAAATTTAATAACGTTCATTTGATTTTACCAATCTTCTCTGTTCCACTAACCGGCATGGTCTAGAGCTTTAGACCATTGCTTAGCATTCGAAAGGGCATCGATTTGAACCATGAATGTTTTGACATATCAATTAGTCCGGAATAGCAGTTTACAATATTTTTGTAATCCGAAATTGAAAATCTTCGAAAGTTGGTGACCTTTTTATTATTCTTTAATAAAATAAACAGCCGCTTCTTGGTATATACTTTATAAATAGAGTTACTTTATACATAGCGTTAAATGTTAATTCTATTTATTGGCGTTGCCCTTAGCGCTGTATCGATTATGGTCTAATTGTTTATTTATTACTAAAAATTACGGTTATTACTGATTTTGATGCATGTGGCCTTGTCATATAAATTATTTTAGTTTACTTGTAAGTATGCAATTTGCACGGACAGCCTACAGCAATACCATTTCCACTATTGAAAATTATTCTACAGAAGACTAGAAATCAGTATTGAAATAAATTTTCCACGTGTTTAAAGAATTAAAGATTGAAATCGATTATCGGTCATCATACGTTGCAATATTAATATCTGTGTGTAAAAGTACATTTTTATGATGATATCATAAAAAATGAAAACATGTTTGTAGATTGTTTTGCTGGTTAATCAAAAATTCTCGATATCTTGACGATATTAATTGAAAGTTGAATATTCCGTTAGCAACAATTACTTTCACTCACAATGGAGGAAATGAGATAAATAAAATGCATAATCCCTGTAAGTACAAACATTTACTGCTAATCGTAGTGTATACATTCATATCCTTTGTACCTATTATTTAATCTACATAACACTTTTATTGTAATGAAATTTTTTTTTATAATTACTTCTATATTCATAATCACATGTCTGTAGTTGTAGTTGTTTAGTTGCTTACTATATTGTTTTGTTGTTTGCGGATGTAGTTACTCGCCCATGCATTGAAAGCTTTGGCTCGTATGGGTGCTGGCCCATAATCCCATAAAACGGAAAATTTTAAAACAACCGCAAGCACTCAATCTCACATAACTTAATAAGACCCTTTGCTAAATTAATGAAAAATTATGGGTGGTTTTTAATTATGCAAAAATATGTAGTACTTTGTCGTTTTGTCCAAATTCGAGGGCTTTTGCTATTTTTTCTCATCGAACATGAGTGTTACATTACCCAAGAAAATTTTACGTCCTGGCTAAGGCGTGGTGGAAAATAGTCTGCTTACCAGGAAGGGAAATAAACATGCGCTCTGAAACATATTCTTCACTCTTCCTGTCTTAATTTAGAAATATAATCATGGAACTCAATATGTTATAGACTACCAAAAAAAATTATTCCATTAACGCTAAAACCACGACAGTTCTAGATACTCTTAATTTGTTCATTTATAAAATCACACTATTTAGTGTTATTCCTGGTATATTGTCGGTACGCCGTTCGTGCTATTCTAAAATTAGTTCCAGAACAATTGTCAAAAGTGTCGGCATTTTTCAGTTTTATAATAAAGCAACCATTGTTTCGTTTAATAAATATGGTACCGTTATTAAGAACCCACTAAGCAATATTATGGCTGCTTTATTGTTAATTATGCACTTTTGTTATTATCGAACTAGGTCATTCACCTCGAATACAATTCACACAATATGTCGAAATTCAACGACTATTGAATATGGTCGTAATGCTTTTATTGCGTGGTCAAGTGTATGGTAAAAGCAACTAGAACAACTTATTAAAAACAATTTTTAGTGCGTAATTAAGAGAGTAACATAATACCTTGGCGTTGCTTTTAACAATGTTTAATAATCGATAATTCAAAAATCGATCCCCAAACTATATTACCTAAAATGTTGAAGCTTTTGCATCAATGCATGGATTTCTCTAGTAGGTTATTAAAAATAACGTTGCACCTACAGATTTTTGAGTTCTTGAGGAGAATTC